ATAACTTGTCCCTGGTCTCATTTCCCCCAGTGCTGCGTGATATAAGTGAACGTGGACGGGACTTGGAGAGCGTCCTAGCACAGTACATCACTTTTGTCAAGCCGGCTTTTGAGGAGTTTTGTCTGCCAGTAAGTGCTATTCTACATTTACACAACTCTGTTTGCATGGTTGTGTCCCTCATGGTCTAACCTTTTTCCTTTTTATTGATGCTATTTAGACAAAGAAATATGCAGATGTGATCATACCAAGAGGAGCTGACAACCTTGGTGAGTATTTTTGCAGTTGTAGCTTGGAGATTCTTCAAGAACATTGGAGGTGATATTAAAGAAATTGAAAACACTAGTCTAAACAGTGTTATCATGAAGGACACAGCTGTGTTTATTGTTGACCTCTGAGCTGGGAATTGTGTTCCCAAAACTAAGGAAGCAAAAGCCTCTGCTGCTGGGAGAACAAAACAGCTTTGTCTGTTGATTTGATAAGAGCTTTAAACAATCCAAAACAAGTTGTAAAAGAAAACCATACTGTGGATCAGTGGGTTTCAAACCTTTTGTTGTCCAAGGCACACCAAAGAGTGAGCCGAAATCTCAAGGCACAAAATGCAATCTTTGAACAAGACTGAGGTGAGGCAGTACTCGGCACCATCAACATATGAAAGATAGATGTTACTTCTCCTCTTCCTCATATTGTACAAAGATGAAGCCAAAATATATGTACAGCTGCTGCCAACTTTCACCATTCACAGCGAGTTGCAGTGACCGCGGTTGTCACCGAGGTATCAAGAACCCGCCCATATACCCAGCTGACGAAGTCGCGACCATCTATAGCTTTAAATAACAAATTAAAACCGAACATATCAGAAAAAAACATTTGAACATACATCAGTGTGATAAGAACTACCTGAAATGACAGAAACCATCTGCTTACATGGCGGCAGCAGGCTTTATGACCTATACTGCAGTCAGCCACCAGGGGGCGATCAAGATGTTTTGGCTTTACTATTGGGAAGCTGTCATGTCGTCCATCTTTAAATATGTCCACGTTAGGCACAGTGATGCTTTGAGCTGAATGCTAACTTCAGCATGCTAACATGCTCACAATGTTTATATCAGTGTCTACTTTGCAAACTACCAATCACGCCATTCTGGAAGAAGTTGAACTACAGCTACTGCAATATGTGGTTAAACTACTAGTTCTATTACATGTAGTAACATTTTTCAATTCAGTTTTATTTGTATAGCGCCAATTCATAACAGAAGTTATCTCAGGACACTTTTCAAATAGAGCAGGTCTAGACCGAACTCTTTATAACATTATTTACAGAGACCCAACAGTTCCACCATGAGCAAGATCTTGGTGACAGGGGCAAGGAAAAACTTCCTTTTAAGAGGCAGAAACCTCGAGCAGATCCCGGCTCTAGGTTCCTTCTGCATCGACCGGTTCACTGCTGCTCATCATATTATTTTAGCATGTTAGCATGCTAACATTAGCTAATTAGCACAAAACACTACTGAGGCAGATCTGAATAAATTTTGCAGGTATTTTGTCATAAAACAAAAATATATTAGATATTTTATATTGGAGTCTTTGGAAATCTCTTCAGAATAACCTCCTGGGTTTTTCCAAGATCACTGGGTTCGGTTTTTGTTTGGGAATATCTGAGATGATGCTTTGCTACTGAGCCTAACCCTGACCACGCACTCTCTTTGTCTCTCAATACAGTTGCTATCAATCTCATAGTTCAACACATCCAGGATATTCTCAATGGTGGTCTGACCAAACGGCTGAGCGGGTGGTTTAATGGTTATGGAACAACAAAGAAGCAGCCAAACATGGAGTCCAGCAGTCGGCCTCACTGAGCGCAGCGCTCTCCGAAGAGAGGACGGAGGGTTCACCTCTACGCGCCGAATGTGCTCTACAGTGTGGCTAACAAGGCAAGAGTAATTGCCAGGAAGGCCTCCTTTTGATCTGTTCCTGCTTGGACTGAGGGGATTAATAAAAGGGCAGAGCATTTGTTTGTGGAGCTGGTTTAGAGCAGTTGTATATTCAGTTATGTTTTTCTCTTTAGCTTGTGTACTGTATGAGATTGAAAGGGGAGAAATGCAAAGAGGCTCACTTGTAATTTCATTTCAAACTGCTGCTTGCCTTTACCACAGCACTGAAACGGACAAAGTAACTAAAAAAGCAGTTATGGCGTCTGACAAAAGATTTCCGAACAGCCTTTAACCATACAATAAATGCAGTGTAGCAACACGCTGTTTAATGGCAGGGCCTTACTGTATCCCACCACAGTTACAGGTGCACCGTCTGACCTGACTAATAACCTTTATCAATGCAACTTCACGTCTTTTTTCAAGCTCTCTGTAAAGCCTTTTTTCACTTATACAAATCGATTTTGAAATCATGTACCAATGGATTGAGGTTTGTGATGTTGGTGTCATGTGCCCCCGAGCTGCACTTGCTTCGTCTCGTGTGAATCTAACAAACTGAATTAGTCAAATTCAACAACCGATTCCCACCTCAAATTATCTGATGTATGACATCATCACCAAAGATCATTTCCTGTACTGTCTCTGTGGGCTAATTGTGTAAAAGAAATGTGAAAATTTAAATGTGATGCTGACATTACTGTAACTCATTTAGATGTCGGTAACATAAAGAGCAAATAATTATGTTATGGAATTACCACAAAGTATTATTTTCCTTTTGAGTCCCATAAACTTGAATCCACAGATGCACATGTATGCAAGTTTCATTTCCAAGAAGCAAACCTACACACTAGGAGTTGTATTAATAAATGCATTGAGCTGTAAAATGTCATGCAGACACCCAATGTAAATGTGTTCTGTAAATGTTGAAGAGTTTTCTTCCTGTATACATTTTTCTTACGATAAAGTTCTCAGGTACTCTTTGTTTGCTTGAGTTGACACAAATATATATTTGTGTTTCTGGTTTAGTTGAGATCTAATCATTGTTCTGTACATATTATTAGAGAACAGAAAAATGCCACTTGCTGCTTGGTGCCATATTGCAGATACCCAGAAAAGGTTGAGCATTTGACTTGCTTTACAAACACTGTGGAGTAATGTAGAGGCAATCAGGGCTGTGGCTGCCTTTGAGGTCATATCCTCTGTATTTGTTTCTGGGGATTTGGAGATTTTAATAAAGTTTACATTCAGCAATTCAAAACTTTCAGATGTTGGCTATTTTATAGGCTAATAGGCCTTTTGCATAGAAGACATTTTGGCATGTCCCAGTAGGGAATGTTTAAATGTCGTGGCATTGTGCATGCTGGCTCACTGTCATGGCTGACTGGGACTAGAGCTTTGATTGGGCCCTAAAAAAATCAGACCCAACCAGACTTGAAAACTTCTGTGCAACCCTGAACCCGAACCGTGGAAGCAGTTTAATAAATGCTGCTCTGTGCCTCTGTTATCGTTAGAGCAAAGTAAGTTTGTTACCAAAACTAATGACAAATTTACTCATTAATTAAAGTTGTTAATAAAATATTATTCTTATTATTATTTTATCTCAATTAGTCCGTGGCCGACCTAAGGCAGCAGTTTTGGGCCCGAACCTGGTGGGCCGTATCGGGTCCATTTAGGTTCGAGCAGAAAATCAAAGCTCTAACTGGGACACTTGAACAGAGCAGATTCTTAGTTAACGCTGTATTCAGCAGAACGGGAAGAACAGTGTATAGCTCCTTTCATTTATCCGAATCCATTGTACAGTGTTAATATTGGATTTTATATCAATGTAAGTAGTGGTGGTGCATTTGCAGCCATTCTGTCAACAGTTTGTTGAGGGATTCTGTTCTCTGCTGCTCATAATCACATTTTGAATATGACGTAAACGCAGCATATGACAAATCAAAATGTCCTATCCAGTATTTAAATTTGACTACTTTTTGGCCAGCAAAATAATACGTTTCATTGTTTTCCCTCCAGATTTTTTATTCCTGGCAGTGTGCTCAAACATTTAGACCTTTGTGTTGAGAATGAAAGGAATTTACAGAAAAAAATAGAAGAATAATTAAATATAAAAATCTAAATATTAAGAATAGTTTAGAGTTGTAGGGTATCCCCAGCAAGTATTCTCACTCATCATTTTTTGCAAGTTGGAACAATATGTAATAAATTTATAGCGACCATCGGTTGATTATTGATGAATACCTCATTATCTTCAAACCTAGAAATAACCAAATACTCAAAGGGGATTTCTTAAGACAGAATCATGTCAGCTTGGGGGGGGGTCTTTAATCTACTGTGCATCTGTTATAAAAGACCCACTCTGACGTTATGGGAACTTGGGTTCATGAACTCAGTCCTGGCTATAGACCGTGCAACGCCTGTAATATCATAACTCTACAGTTGTGTCTTTAACCAGTACTACAGTACATGCTTAATGTTAGCAGGTTTTCACTTTGTGACAAATAACCATACATTCAGTACGCATACAAAAAACCCACCCTGACTGGGGGTCTGAAACTGCCAGACCATTTGTATTGATTTAAACTACCCCTCCATATGCAATTAAAATAAAAAATGTATTTCACTTGGTACAAAATAATGTCTCACAACAAAGATTATGTAACATTTTGATATAAAATATAAAAAAACTATTTCTCTGCACTTTCTTGTAGTTTTTGAACATTGCAGAGGACCTCCTGTGAGATAACAGTACCAGCAGTGGCCACAGGCCAATTTGAGTTTATGACCTCTGCCCTTGATTTTTTAAATATGCTGCTAATGCAAACTATTCTCCCACAATGCAATGCACAAAGGAAATGATGGAGCTGCTCTAAAACTTTGTGTCTCTCTGTATAGTTTAATTAGTAGGTCAATTCTTATATAAAGTACTGTCTCATTCCATGTGTGACATTTGTTGATTTTTTTTGTATACTTACTGCTTAACCCAGACACTGTATACAGTTAGTATGTTGTGTGGAATTGGACACACCATTTATGTTAGGACAGTTCACTATTTTAAAAAAGGCCAAGCAATTTGAAGTAGGCACTTTACTTGAATCATATGAGACTCTGTGACAAGATGAACATACAGTGTTTTCTGTACATAAACAACATATACTGAAAATGCTACTCAGTACTTAATAAGAACTGGACGTGCCCTGTAAGTCCATATCCTGTAAAGTCAGAGCACCATGGCTGTCGGCCCTCTGAAGAGCCTCTTCTGACCCGGAGCAGGCCCAGTCTCTGTCCCAGCTTGGCATCACTCCTGGCTAAGTGAAAAAGGGCACTTCTTTGTTTGTAATCAGGCTCGGTGAGTACTACCTCCTTCCTCACTCCCTGGCTGCGGAGTTCTGGCCAAAGAGGCCACGGTACAGTTCGCTGCGTGCCTCGTCGCCCATGGAGCTGTGGTCAATAGGAGCCATAAAGTTCACCAGCTTACTGTGGATGTGGAACCTGACTTTACGGCCCTTGCTGGCTTTGGTGTCCACCTTCTTCTTGATCTTGCTGCGCAACTTCTGGATGGCCAGCCACTGCCTGCCCATCGCCACCTGGTCATTGGGGTCCGCTGCGCTCGTCTTGCGCTCGATCAGCTCCCTCAGTAGCTGGTGGTAGAAATCATCATCGTCAAATATATCCTCGTCCAGGTCCTTCAGATGCGTGTTGGCTTTCAGCTGCTGCTCCGCCTCCTCTCCCTCTGTGAAGGTGGTCTCAGAGGTGAGAGCAGAGGCCTCTTTTTTCCCCAGGATCCTGTACTCTGAGCGTCGGGTCTGGGTGCGCCGCACCAGCCTCTCATTGTCCGTCAGCACCTGCTCCACCTGTGTCAATATGTTTCTGTCGAACGCCCCGAAGCCCTTGCTGCTTTTGCCCATAGTCAGTCTGGTTTTGTCGTGCCACTTCTGCAGAGTGGCGTTTCGGTACGGCTGGAAGGCAGCAAACCGTTTGGCCATGAAGTCCGGGTACTCTGCCATCTCCAGTTTTCGTTTAGGCGCTCCACCCTCCTGCACCGACCCCTCCTCATCCTCATCACTGTTTATCTCCTCGTCTTCACCCTGAGCGATGGCCCTCGTGTCCGCGCTCTGGCACAGCAGCTGGTCGTGCAGCTCCAGCAGGGATCGCTGGAGGGCTTTCAGAGCTTTGTGGGTATTCTTCAGCTCCCCCGCGAGCTCGGCTCCACCCCTCCTCTTGAACTCGGGGAGGGTCTGCGGCTGCGGGAGCTGGTTGGCCGTCACCAGAGCCTTCTGGATTTTGATTCGGCCCTCGAGCAGTTGGTCCCACAGGGCCAGCTGGTTCTTCACAGCCTTCCCCTTCTCCACCTCCTCGTCCACTTTCTGTTTAGAAAATGTGCGAACAGTTCCCTCATCTTCATCATCCTCCTCTTCCATGTCATCATCATCATCATCAGAGCCGTCATCTTCATCGCTGCTGCCATCATCATCATCTTCACTCACTCCCAGGTCGTCCATGCCCTCTGTCAGTTCATGGAAGTCCACCCCCTGAGGAAGACTCATGTCTGCAGTCTTTCTCTTAGATGCCAGTTTAGCATTCAGTTGTGCATCACTGCCAACCAACTCCTCCTCCTCATCCTCATCCTCTTCATCATCCTCTTCATCATCCCCCATGGAATCCTCTTCTTCATTGCTGCCCTCCTCCTCCTCCTCTTCCTCTTCATCATCGTCCTCGTCCTCCTCGGATCCCTCAATGTCCATCAGCAGCTGTTGACGAGAGACGGTCTTCCCCACGTACCGTGTGTCAGTCTCCTGGAGCAGGGATGAGCTGTGCTTCCGCAGAGCGCTGGGGCCGACCCCATCTTCATCAGCGTCCTCGTTGAATCCTTCTATCACTTTGGCTTTGGTGGCCTCGTCTTCGTCATCCTCCGGATCGGCAAATTTAGGCAAAGGATTCAACAAATCCTCGAGCTCCTGGGAGAACGAGCCCGCCATGGGTAAACGTTTACAACAACCGCACGTGCGCTCTCAGGTCACGACGGCTCCTCGGTGCGGATAGTGATGACGTTGGTAATATGCGACGACGCTTAGAGTTGTGGGATAGTCAATCCCTGGGTGAGGTCTTTCAGACAGAACCTGTTCATAGGTTGCGGATAAAACTCAAACCCCCGAATGAAACAATAACCTGAGCAAAACCAGAGTCCGTACATTTACAACTGAGAGATATGAAGTTAAACAGTCCTTTTTTGTAAATCTTGTGAATGTGATGCTTTCCCAAGAGCTCAAACTGTCCATGTGACTGTTATTTATTATACAAACATTACTCTGTAATAGGGAACAAGACATTTAACTCAAAACAAAGCAAAACAAAATAAATAGCGATTCATTGACTGAATATTATTTTGCAAAGAATCGAAAGGGGAATAAGAGGTGTATGGAGTGTGTGTGGCACAGTGTGTGTGTGGCACAGTGTGTGTGTGGCACAGTGATGAACTGCAGGATCAACTTCCTGAAAGACAAACTTCAGGGAACGGATGTCACAAACCAAGTGACCTTTCACGCATGCGTACATGAGCGGCGAGGCTCCAGGCTGCTGTTGCTAAGTTTTGTTCCGCAGACTTCACCAGAAAGAGTACTTTCTGGAGAGCAAATATGTCAACAAGCGACTTCTATTTGAGATATTATGTCGGGCACAAGGGAAAGTTTGGACACGAGTTCCTGGAGTTTGAATTCAGACCTGACGGTAAGTTGAGTTTGGCGGTAATACAGACGTGTTAGCTTTCCTGCGTCTGTGCTAACGTCGCTAGCCACCCGGCACTAGCTAGGCCGCAGCGGACTCAAGTTACTCGAGTTGCGAGCGCCAAAATGTCTGTTTGGTTTCCACTGTATCTTAAACTATACTAGTTCATGTTTATGCTGAGTTAATGTCGCAAATTGTAGTTATTATAAATGAAGGGCTGTTTTAGGTAATATCGTACACGCGTTTAGGCGCCATGTGGCCTGTAGGGACGGTAACAAACTCGTATGCGTTCTGTTAAAAGTGATCCATTGTCTCTCATTCGTGCTGCTGAATATTCTCTTGCAGGTAAACTGAGGTACGCGAACAACAGCAACTACAAGAATGACGTCATGATCAGGAAAGAGGTAACCGGTCGTTAAAATCACGTTATTGTCGTTATCTGTAGTCTTAAACGGAACCATGGGCACTGCATGCTGTTGGGTAATCTCGGTTCAGCTTTAAGTGTGTTCTCACTATTGTTGCATATCTCAGACTAAACCCCAAATTATTAATGATAGGACCATGGCAATGCTTTGACTGTTGACCTGAAGTACTGTCTGTAAACTAGGACTGTGTATTCTGGGGTTCAGGGGTTACGGTTCTGTATGTTGTGATATATTGCACTTAAGAAAAAAGAACCTAAGGACTACTATCATGGTATAAAAAAACAAACCACCATTATGCATAAAAACTGAGCTTACCTTTTGTAATGAAACCAGAACAGTGGGATCCTCCTTTGTGTTCAGCACAGTACCTGTAACATCATTACAACATCATAGCTCTCAGTTTACAACACTGCTATCTAACAGTTGGGGGGGTTTAAGCACCAAAATATACATAGCGATATTTCCTTACACCCCTTATGTACACTAAGGGTGGATGTTGTAGTCAGGCTAGAAAGTGGTGGTCAGACAAGTAGAGGGATTCCTTCTTAATTACAGCACAGTACATAACATCACGTTCATATTATGATCAGGGATGCGTGATAATTATCAGGGCAGATAAATTATCGGCCAATAATGGGTAATTAATATTATAATGAATTATCAGGATAATTAAATCACGTGCGATTGATAGGCTTTATGTCGTTTGTCCGTTTGTGAAGTTTTTTGATGAACGTTGCCATTAAAAAATGAACATTTGAAGAGTCAGAAGTCTTGTTTGTTAACAGTGATGTCAGTTAGATTTGGTTAGATCAGAGCTATGGAATATTAAATCATCCGTCTTTGCTCACTACATGTCAGCCTATCTTACCCTCAGGTTTGTAAACTACAGGCTGTGAACTTAACTTTACAATACAAAAATGTGTAATTATCTGTTATTTTATCGGTATCAGCCATGAGAAGCAGGTAGTTATTGGTTCGGCTGGAAGAAATCCATAAAGTGCAGCCCTACTTAATATCAAAATTAGGGATGCTCGATATGGATTATTTTGACTGATATTAAGATTGCAGTATGATTCCCCATTATTGGCAATGATTGTTTTTGTGTCATCATTTTTATTTTTATTGAAAAATACTACTGAGGATGATGGGACATTTATTGGGGTCTGTACCAAACAAACATGTTTTCTTCCATCTGGAAAACAATATTTGTAGGTCAGTGCACCTCTGCAGCTCTACAGTACTTCATTATAATGCTGTTTGTCACACAGTTTACCTTTATCAAACAATGCAGCTTCTGCAATTTGGATATTTCACTTGGCCTTATTACAAATTGTATTATTTTTCAGTTAATTGTGCAGCCCTAATATTAAGATGAGCAACATCTGAGATCTACAGGTCCTCACATAGTATCGTTATATTTATAGTTATAAATATGTCACAGCTCTAAACATTTACAAAGTTTAACCTGGTCCGTCTGTCTTGTGTGCACCAACCCAGGCATACGTACACAAAAGCGTGATGGAGGAGCTGAAAAGGATCATTGATGACAGTGAGATCACCAAGGAAGATGATGCACTGTGGCCGCCTCCTGACAGAGTTGGCAGACAGGTTTGTGGCTCCAGTTCTGATTGCTTTGGTCGACATCTTTTCCATTGTTGATCACATGGAGTCTGACACGTCACAGATATTGCCATTGTCTCTGGCACTGTGGTAAATCAACTCTGCATCGATGACCGTAAACATTTTTGAATCCCTAAAAATATCTTACTTATTTTTGTCCTCGTTTTCACAGGAACTGGAGATCGTCATTGGAGACGAGCACATTTCATTCACAACTTCCAAAATTGGCTCCTTGATTGATGTCAACCAGTCAAAGTGAGTACTTTTCCCAGGAATTGGGAAGGTAGACGCTGTATATTTGTCACTGACAAAAGGACTTAACTTTTAAAATTGCACTATTTCAGGGACCCTGAAGGTCTTCGCGTGTTCTACTACCTGGTGCAGGATCTGAAATGTCTCGTCTTCAGTCTGATCGGCCTACACTTCAAGATCAAGCCTATCTAAATGTGGATTTTGCTCGTTTTAATTGATTTAGCTAATGTTTCTGTTGTTGTACTACCGCATTTGTACATTTGCTTTTTGGTGGAACTGTTTTTTATTTTAAATAAAGGGTGAGAAACTTTTGTCCGTGCCCGTGTAAAGTTCTTTCCTGGTGTCAACACTAAGTTGATTTATATTAATTTAATTTATAGCCTGTTCTATATTATATTCCAGGGTATAGAAATGGGAAGATGTTCCTGCTACACACAGGAAATTATGGAAAATTAATGCAATTAAATTAAGTTTTATTTCAAAAGGCTTTTGAACACATCAATAAGGCTGTAAATGACAAACTGATCATTATTAGTGAAGTTATAACAGTGACAATCAGCAAATGTTCAGTAAAATTCACATTTTGGTAAGGCACAGAATCTCTGGAGTCTCACAGAGGACTCCATACTCTGTCTTTAATCTGTACTGCATAAATAATATGACCAGCACTCCCAATCATAGCTGTCCCTGTATTATGTAATTCTAAAACCACTGCTTAAACTTCTACAGCAAACTGTACAATGGACATGGCTGTAAAACAGACTGTCTTGCAAAGTCAGTGGACTGAATCAGATAAAGTGGAACACTAAACATATTTCTATATCTGATGTCCGATGTGGTTTTCATTATACAATAAATGTTATGACTTTAGTCTGCAGTCAAACAGACAACAATATCCAAACCCATATTCCTAACCATTTAATTCCGAAAAATAATTATATCTAATCCCTGTGATTCTCCATGTTTCTTTTGAGGGCTATAAAATATATTATTCATCTCACTTTCTGCATGTTTGCCCAGAACAGTTTGGGAGCTGAGAATGATGACCACACCTTCACCGTTATGCAGTCAGTTTTTTCCTCTTTGGTAATCACAGACACTTGTTTCTTAGCTGAGTGGCTTTCCTTCCAGGACAGTAAAAATGTCCTCTAAAGACTTGTGGACACACTGCAGGAATTCGTGGACGTTGCGAGCCGGGTAGCTGGACACGTTGCAGCCGATCCAGTCGTCGTGGACGCCGTAGCCGACACCGAACCCATCGGGCACAACTGGGGCAAAGCCACCCAGGCTCACGGCTGGACTGGTGAGGGTGCTGGTGGAGAGGATGTTGTGGTTGATGGCAGTGTAAGCTGGGTCTGTGTACAGGCTGTGCAGAGCCTGGCCCTTTGAATTGGCCAGGTATCGCAGGGCAAACAGGTGACGGTCAAAACCTTGGCCTGGAGAAAGAAATGAAAGTTGTTAGTACAAAGACCAATGGGTATCATGTGTGTTTGAGCCCAGTTATGTCTGAAATCACACTTCACACTGTGACAGTAGTTTGAATATTTCATGGTATCACTAATTGGAATTATATCAAAGACATGTAGAAATGTCTCATACACACCCATAGCTGCTTCCTTGGTGAGCTGCCCGTGATATTTAGAGCATTCACTGAGCATGGCCTTCAGTTGCTCCACACTGTGTTGGCCGGGCTGGCAGACAAAGGCGTGTGAACATCGTTTTGTGTGTATGGTGGCAGGGCGGATGGTCTCCGTCCGGCCATGCTTGAACGCCGCAGTGCTGCAGGACTCGTACGTGGCCACCGTCTGTCCATACTGCCTCAGGAAGCCCATTTGAAAAGCCAGCTGGGCTATCGCATCTGGACTCAACCTACTCTTCTTCAACTGTTCTTTCCCACCTTTCTTGAATTCCATGGCATCAATGGTGAGTTTCGACACGGCTGAATCAAAGTTCTCCTTGGCCTTTTGGATGCCAGTCTCCAGCTCGCCATCCAGGTTGAACTGCAGCCTGCGCACAGCAGAGGC